TGCGCGCTGTCACTGATAAAGCTTAGTTCTTTCCCTCAGGGCACAGCAAAATCAACCGATGCAGTTGTCAGAGTTGTTTACTCTAACTTGCAAAGTATGTGCGCCTGCAGCAGGTTTTTCTTGGGGTCTGTATGGCATATGTAGGCTGGCCCTTGCTTTACGTCCCGTCCTGGCGGATGCGGCATACCTGCCTCTGGCTGTTGTCCTCGGCTGCATTGGCACTTCTTGCCCTGGTCTGAGGGGTGGGCAGCGGAGGGAAGCATGGCATGCCTTGTGGTGAGGAGGAGGGAAGTGGAGGGGAAGGAGGGGGCAGGGTGAGCAGTGGGAGAGCCCTGCTTTTCAGGGGGCTCTTCCAGGTTGCCCTCAGGAGGAGTGCTGGGTCCTGGCACCTCTGCTGCAGGACAGGCTGCTCGGTGGTGGTGCATGCCGTCCCCACCTTCACAGGAGAAGCTGTATGCGGGGGACCTAAACCAGCGGGTCTTGTGTGGATGACAGTGACCCCCTGTTTATCTTTGGGGGTGGGCTGAGCATGGAGGGGAAGTGGGAACAGGAACCGCTGTGTTGCACAACTCATAGGTCAGTGGTCAAGTGATCTCTCCAGGGTGAAGCATGTTCTGCTCAGGTATAGACTTCCTAATTTGTACTCTTCTGTTGGCCAAGTAGAAAGCTGCAACCCCAAATTTGTGACTTCCGTTGTGTATGTCTAGTTTAGCTGGAAAAGCATTATGGCTAACGTATGTGGTTTCAGGGTTTTGTAATCTGAATCTGGTTAAGTCTTGCTCTGAAAACCAGATGTGGGGAGAACATGCACACCTGGAAGCGTGTACTGGCCGAGAGCAGTGGCTCTGTATTCTTCGGGCCCTTAAATCACTGCCACTTCCTCGTGGAGGAACCTATATCCGCACGAAGAAGCTTCTAATTATAAATCCTGTACACATGATTTGTTTCCATGCATCCGCTGCAGACCCCTCTCTGCAGCCCTTAGGCTGAGAGGGGAGGCCACGGGACAGGATTCTGGTTTTGGCTTTGCTAGTGGCAAGCAACAGGATCTTTGGGAATTCAGCTTTCCCTCTCAGTGATTGTTTCTCCAAGTTAAAAAAGGCTTCTTTATAATCCCCAAGACCTGTCTGGTGATCAGATATAAACTCTTACAAAATCTCTTTTCAATGTATGCTGCATTTTGGTTATAAAACAAGCAAGCTGTTCTGGCTCCTGGAATTCCGGTTCCATCTTTAGTACTTCTTTTATTGCGTGGTTGAACCATAATGAAATCCACCGAAAAAAGAAATAGTGTATTTTCCATTATAGCTGCCATATGGCCTTATTGCTAATTTTTAATTAGCTGAGATGGTTGCATACACAGTTTATTTGGAGCAAGGACGGAGACTGTGAGAGCTGGATGAGGAGGAGAGCTATTCTGATGTCTCTATAGAGGCACGGTGTCTTTTTTACTGTCTTTAAATAGAAAAATGTGTAATCCTCAGAAAGTGTCTTTCCACTAGGTCTGTTTGGCAGATGTATGCATGTGTGTTATTAAACAGATGCAGACACTTCTGTCACTTTAAAATAGAATAGTGTTGTTTGCTCTCTGGCTTGCCTAGTCCAGCAGATGGATTTAGAGGCTTTGCAAAATTGACAGAATTTTCTTCAGAAATGGTAGAACAGGAGAAAGTAGCAGGGCATCTAGGCTTGCATTTTCTGCTTAATATTCCTCCTCAGGAGTAGGGTTCTAAAACTGTCCCTCAGGATTACCATTTGCCTTTTTCCCTGCATATGGCTCCCAGTACTGTTACACTGAATTGGTTCCATTGGAAAATTAGGCAGGCTGCAAGAATGCTAACACTATAGATCTATCTTGGATCTGTACTGAATTTGGTCTGACAGGGATCTTGACTCTCTAATTAAGTAATTAAATAAGCATTTATAATGGAACCCTATCATTGGGAAACTGGATTTTAATCAGGTGCAGGATGTCATGCTCCAAATGGTCCTGCTGTGCCAGGAGCAAACCAGGTCTGCTGCCTGTATAGCAGACCTGATGCTGTGGGTCACACAAACTGATAGGGTTTTGGTGCACACGGGAGGGGACAAGCAGTTGTGACTGACCTCATCTAATGTTGCAACAGGCTGGACCTTGGCAGGTCATTCCAAGCAACGTTTATCTGATTCTGTGGAGTTTTTTGTTCAGGGTTTTTTTGTTTGTTTTTTGTTTTTTTTTTGGTTTTTTTTGAGGGTCCCTCATCAGGGAGAGAGACAGATGGCAATGGGAAGGGAAGAGGGACTGGCCTTAGTATCCACTCTCTGCTGTATGGTTGAAGGAGAAAGGTATAGATTTGTTTCCGTGACTTGTCCGGGATAACTGGGTACTTGTGAGTTTTTCCTGTGACTGCTCACACGGATTGAGACTAATAGTTTCCCTCTTGACCACTTAGGATGTTCTTAATTAGACTGCTGTCTTGAAAATGCCCACTTTTACTGCAGCACTGCAGCTGTAGCTGCATTAACACAGTGAGGGGCCGTAGTTTAAATCATCACCGTGGATCCTCGGTATCATTTTGCTTCGTATCATTTAGTTTAAAAAACTAAACTGTGGTGGCTGTTGCTCTGCTGACACCGGTAGTGAGAGCAGTAAGGCAGCTAGGGAGCTGCGCTTGACCAAGCCATGACGCTGACATTTAAGGTGTTTGTTTTATACTGTCTTTTCATCTGTGTATTTCCAATCCCTTAATGCCTGTCATTTACATGTCATTTACATGTTAACAAGCAGATCGCCGGTACCAACATTTGCCAAGCTAGTTCAGCACCTGGTAAAAAGCGTTTCTCCGTCAGCTCTTTAGCCAACGGGGACCATGTGTGGATTTTCTTTTCTGCCGACAAACCCCTTAAAACCAATTGTAATTTTTAGTGAGTGACTTCTCTTCCCGTGAATGGCATTACATGCAGATGCCGTGCCGCCCAGAATCTTGGTAGAAGGCATCCTCGCTGAGTTCCTTCGTTTGCTAAACAAATGTGCTGTTGATCCAGTGGTTGGTAAGGGGCTTCTCCAAGAACTTGACTTGAGCAAACTGGTTATCCCCTTCTGCTCCACACTCCTTAGATCCCAGCTGATACTCTGTGTCCAGTTTTGGGCTCCTCAGTGTGGGAAAGACATGGCTGAACTGGAGCACCTTCAGCAGTGGGGCCACCAGGATGGCGGCTGGATCACTCGTCCTGTGAGGAGAGCTGGCCTTCTTCAGCCTGTGGAAGAGACTGCTTCAGGGAGATCTTTAATAAGCAGTCTGCTGATACCTATGAGGAGATAATACTGAGAAGATGGAGCCAGGTTCTTCACCCTTGTGCATAGCAGAGGAAAGAGACAACAGGTATGAACTGAAACAAATGAGGTTCAGTCTGGACAAAGGGAGAAGCTTTTTCATACTGAGGACTCTCAAATGGGACAGGATGCCTAGAGAGTTTGTGTAGCCTCTGCTCTTGGAGGTTTTAAGACGTGAGATGATAAAGCTCTGAGCAACCTGGTCTGATCTCAGAGCTGACCCTGCTTTGAGGAGGAGGTTCAGCCAGATACCTCCTGAGTTCCTTTCCATCCCGAATTATCCAACGATCTTACGCAGCTCCCTGGCAGCTTAGGCCCTTCAAAGGCTGGAATAAGGACATTTCTTAAACACTGTGAAGTCTGTGGATTGATGATTTATGAGCAGCATGTGAATACAAGGGTGTGCAGTGAACCTGTGCTTCTCATCAAGGTCCTTTTACTGGTTTGGCATTAGGTAGTAGGAAGAGTACATTTTTTTTTTTCTGTCTTTTTTGCCCATCTAACCTTTTAGTGAGGAGGAAAGCGGGGATTCCACTGGGTTGCTGCTCTAGCTGCTTTTTTAGTGAGGGTGAGTCGGAGAGGTTTTGTAGTTGGAAAGCTGTTTTGGGACTGACCAGTAGCTGAAAGTCTTTAAGATATCTAGCCCCACTGAAACACTGCCTTGTCTAGCTCCTAGGGCCTGGTATTATCAGTGCAAAGGCTTTAAAAGAGACCACAGAAAGCTAGAACTGCGAATTGTGTAAAACTTTGGTGTGCTGACTAAGTAAACCAATAGTAACAGCTGCAGGTCTTTTTGATACTTGGTGAAATGCAACATTTTCTTGTGCTTTGGACTTGTTTTGATTTGATTCTAGGGCTGGCTGTTTCATGATTGTATTTTGTTATCCCTTGAAGGCCGTGTTCGGGAGACTGGACTGGAATGGCAGTTGGAGGCTTGGGCTCCACTCTTTCAACATGGTCTTCAGCAGCTCTGTTAGGACATGGTGGTGTCTATTTCTTACTTAAACCTGGCAGAGTTAAACATCTGAATGCTTTTATGGCAGCCACTGTCTTCACTGTGCCTTCCCCTAGAGGACTGGCTTTTATCTGACCGTGGGCTCTGCGTTCCAGACTTTCTTTTACTGCGAGGTCTGTAGTGCTTATCACTCAAGTGCTTGTCTTGGCAGGCTCTTCTGGTGCTCAAAGCAACAAGTAAAATAATTTTCCACATACGACTCGTCTGGAAACCATTGAGAAAACTTGTATTTTTCAGTGTCTGCTTGTATAGTGTGGTATTTCAGTTCCTTTTCAATACACTCCTTTACTGCCCTGGGTGCAGGTAGGACACAGGAAAGGTAGAGCTGGGCATGAGCAGTCTCAGTATATGGTACTGTGAAAACCGTGTGTTGAATGTTTAGGTTAAAGCTCCTAGTCTGGAGCACTGCCTATCCCTCTATAGGTCCTGTGCTCTGTTGAACTGAAAACTAGTATTTACTAGAAAACCCTCAACGTGTGTGTTGCAAATATATTTGCTATATATGAGCGTTTTTCAGGGTTTTCCTTGTCTTTTTGGGTGACATTTGGGCAACTCCAGCGATTAGGCATGTGCCCTTTTTGTGGTTTGCAGGGTCGTTTATCTCGACTTATTCTTCCTGTAGAATAATGTTGCACCAGCAAAAAAGTTGCTTTTTTTGAATTGCAAGTCATAGCTGTGTCCTCCTTTCCACTTGCATGAAGTTGGTGGAGAAGACGGTGCCTTTCTGTTACTCCTTGGGCTCACCAGCCATCGCCGCCTTCAGAAGTGAGTCTGTTACTCTCTAATTCTCTTGACACGTTCCGAAGAACAAGCAACATCAAATGTTTTCCTATCTGCACAGCAGACTGCTTTTGGTGGTGGTTGTTAACCTTCTCATGCCTTTGGAAGGTGGGGGGGGGGCAAAGGATACAGGGAAAGCGGTAAGTTGAAGCAGGTAAAACTGCTTGGGCTGTTAATTAACTGAGGGGGTTTCATTCGGATATCTACAAATGAAGTGTCAAACCCTGAGAAAGAGTGGAAAGAAGTCGGTGGAGGGACGGAAACCAGCCCAGTTAAAAAATGCGCTGCCACGAGCCGTAGTAGTGACTTTTGTGATGCCGAGTGTTCTGCTTGATGAAATTTGCAGTTAGATTTGTTTGTGGGATCAGAGATAGTGCTTGTAGGAGGCTGGAAACTGAAGTGCTGTTTTCTCCCTGGTTTCTTCATGATGGAGAAGGCAAGAATTGAATGAATGGACTAGACGTCTCTTCCAGAGTAATGCTATTAGCTCCGCTTCTGACAACTTCTGCTGTCTCCCCCTTGGTGATTTGCTTTGGCCAGACCCATCACACATGGATGCCTTAAGTAGTGAGCTGGTTCTGGTTTCTGGAGTTGCTTTTGGTTAAAGGAGTCTTGTCGGTGCTTGGCATCTTGCAGAAATCAGCCCTGCTTCGTTGGCTTCTCAGACTGAGTTCCTAGACAGTGAATGTGCTGTTCCCTGCCTGCTTGTGCCCACTGTCTTTGGGCACAGAAGCCTCAATGTTAAGTCCTGGTGTCCTGCTCCCGGCCAGGTGCTGGTTCCAGACCTCAGAGCACGCAGAGGGTCTAAGCGACACGGAGCTGTAGCAGCCAGCGTGCATCTTGAGAATACTGCAGCACATTGCAAGCGACAAATGCAGCTTGCTGACCGCTCCTTGCTCGTCTGCGTGAACGGGAGTGTTGTTTCGTGTCGGGCAGGGAGGACAAAATGTCAGAACTGTTTGCTGGGAGCTGCTTAAAAATACACTTGTGCCTCTCAGGCCTGAGGAAATGTGATTAAAAAAAAAAAAAGCCATTTTCAAAGCTGTGGGATTGCTCCTGTAAGGTCAATGTAGAGAGACTGAAGCAGAGCTGAGAAGGTCAGTGTGTCAGCTCAGTATCCTACTGGGTGGCTTTTTCCATACTTGAAAACCTCGCTTTTGCAGGTCTAATTTTATAAATACTTTAAAACACCATTCTTGTCCATGCTCTTATTTCTGCCGTTTTGGTTTTTTTTTGGCCAGCATTAGTGTTTGTGTGTCTACACAATGAGAATTAACTTTGTGGTTTTTTTCCTTATCTGGTTAGTTTTCAGGCATGCCGTGTCCCTGCTCAGTGCCATGATGTGGCTTCTGCAATCAACGGAAGGGAAAGGGTGAGTGGCAGCTAGGGATGGAGGCGAGGTCTGCAGTGCCCCTTTGCTGACGGGATGGATGCCTGCCTGTTAAAGACAGCTACATAACTTAAGGTTGAGATAATCATTAAAGAAACAAGAAACAGGGACTTAGAGCAAAATAATGAATCCCAAGTTTGACTTTTAGTTTTAGCTCTGTAGCTCTCTGTCAGCTTCTGTCAAAATCTGCATCTTGCTTTTCTGCCTTGCGGGACATAAAGAATTTCTTCCTGGATATAAGGAAGAAATTCTTTACAATGAGGGTGGTGAAACACTGGAACGGGTTGCCCAGAGGGGTGGTGGAGGCCCCATCCCTGGAAACGTTCAAGGCCAGGTTGGACGGGGCTCTGAGCAACCTGATCTGGTTAGCGGTGTCCCTGCTCACTGCAGGGGGGTTGGACTAGGTGACCTCTAGGGGTCCCTTCCAACCCAAAACGTTCTATGATTCTAACATATTTTGAAGGATTCCTAATTATTTACTAAGCGGGTATTAGACCTGTTGCATGAGCTGAGCAGAAAGGGTCTCTAACAGCCGGGGGGCCAGACGCTGAGATGAATTCTGGCTTGGTGCTTTGGTAGCTGTGAGGCTTGAATGGGATCAGTACAACCACTGCAAAGAAGACCTGAATGTTAAATACAGTGGCTCTGTGTTGGTATCATCGGCTCATCTTGGCTTTTTTGACTGCCTGTTGATGTCCAGGCAGCTGCGGGTCAGCCCTGGCTTTGTCAGTTGTTCTCAGAGCCAGATTCATACCGGAGGGGGGATCTATCTGTTCAGTTATGTCCACAGCGTAACCGCGGTGGTACGGCTGCCCAGCACAGGCAGCAGCTGGGTGAGGGCAGGGTTGGCAGCACCCGTGCCGCATTCACAGGGCCCTGCAGGGAGCTGGAGCAGAAAACTGGTTCAGCGCACAGCACCTTAATTTCACAGGATTCGGCTTTCTTGCTGGACTGAAGTGGGCCACGTAGCTGGCTAAAGATCTGTCTGCTTAGTAATTGCAGAGTGTCTCATTTTGTTTGATTTGGTGTTCAGTTGCCAGTGCTGGTCGTGCTGAGAGCCGCTTGCGGCCGCTGCGGTCTGTGTCGTGCTCCCCTCTCCCAGCTGCTGCTTCTCCGCCTGTTCCCGTTCTGCCTCAATGCACCCTTCCTCTTTTCAGGAGAAGGGCTGGTACGTGTGCAGGGCTAGGCCGGGATAGCTGTAGCAGTGTTAATATTGGCTATCTCAACGCAGGTGTCATCCACCAAAAAAATGTGAATTCTCTTGTCACCAAAATTTAAAAAAAAAAAAAACCCAAACAACTTGATAGAAAGGTAAGAATTTTCATGGGAGAAAAACTGAAAGCGGTATTTTACCCTCACAAACCAAGCCAAACCCCAGCTTCTCATAAACATTTCTCAGTGGCTCAAGTACTGGATATGCTGCTACCATGCTAGATACATATTTTACCCCTGGCAAAATTAAAGGGGAGATCTTTGTTCTGTCAGCCACAGAACAGACCCGCTTATCTGTGTAAATTAACACCTCCATCATAGAAGCAAGCGTGGCCTGCTCTTTACAACTAAACAAAAGGATTATTACAGCCCTTTCCTAAAAGTTGCCTTTAGCTTTACTCTTCCCTTTTTTTAGGTCTTTCCATTGCTTTAAGTGACACAGCCCGGCCGTTGTGAGTGCCTTGTGTGCCTACTGAGGCATATAAATAATTTCCTTTATTACCGCAGTTCTGCTTTGAATGCAGTCTCTTGATACAGCGCCTTTATGTGGATTTGATCAAGTCTTTGCTTTTGATCTGCCTGTGATTATTAATTCTCTATTATAATTAATGGAGGCTTTGTCTTTTTCCTGCAGTCTCTATCAAAAGATCTCAGAGCCTTTTGTAAATGTGAAGCAATTAGTAAAGCAGTAGCAGACGGGTGAGTTGCGCGTGTGGTTTGTCTCTGGAAAAGAGACAGAGGGTCTCAGTGTATCGGCATGCACTAAGTTTGGGACTGGTTTGAAATCTTTTAGTACCACTCTGTTTCTTGGAAAATACCAGGTTTTGTTAAACTTCATGGGATTTTTTTTAATGTTTCTAGAAGGCTTACAGTTTTGAAGATGACTTTTCGTGAAAGAGTTTTAGGTGTCAGGTGGAAATTCTGCGTGTGTTGGTCTGCAACAGGCAAACAGAGGGGCAGGGTAAGAGATTGACACCGCAGGGTCTTTACCCACCAGGGACCTGTTGCTTTCTGGTCTGACGCCTTGCGTGGGAAGCAGGAGCTCCAGCAGATACTTGATCTTTTATGCAAGGTTTGGCTGCTTCATCAGGGGGATTTGTCCCATGGCCCCATCTCGCCTGGGGTGTGAGTGAATGAGGGTCCTGTCGCTGGTCTGAATGGGGTGGAAATGGTCTGGAAGGTGGACTGTTTTGCACGTGATTATCTGAACTCTCAGGATATGAGTTGCAGGCGAGTCACTGTCTGCAAAAGTGCAGCTGGTTGCGGTTTTGTCTCTGGGAAGAGCAAGGAAACTTGGGAAGCAGTGAGACATCGGGGGCAGGAAAAGAGCTTCCCGTGCAGTTCGCGTTACACGGTCATTGCACGTTTCCCTTCGGTGTGCTGCTCCGTCCGAAGAGGATGACAAAGTTACTTGAACAAATCATCTGTAACAGAGCCAAGGGTAACAAACCAGTCTAATAGCTTCCAGAGTTAGGGTTTAATCACGAGATGAAAGTACATTGTGTAAAAGTTGTGGTCGGGCAGTGCTGCGGAGCCAGCTCGGCACTGGTTGAATGCAGAGCAAAGCACCGTATCCAGAAACCCGTGATTAGCATCATGACAGCTGCTGCTTTCTGTGGGGTGGGATTCAGCTTTGCAGTCAGAAATAACTAGAGCTAAAATTAAGTAGCATTTATCATCTGTTTTTGTAAGAGGCGGAGGCTTGTGGTCAATTTTTTAATAACAAGGCAGTGAATGGTAAAGGCTTAAGAGGTGAACTGTGCTGTTGTTGATATCTCTTAAAATGACATTAAAATTACTAAGAGTGAAGGCAGAAAGGATCAAATTGTTGACATCAGCTTTCTCTCTTATAAAAAGGAGAAAGTGGGGACTTTTTTTCTTTTTATAGCGCTCCTGCTGACTTTAAAGACCATTTTCGGACTTGTGAGAAATCCTTGACAGCTCTGGTGGTGCTTCCAACTTTCTTTAGCTAATTGCTCCTGTTCCGTGCAGTTTGCGTGTAATCCCATGCACCGAGACAGCCTGCCTGGCTTACAGATGTAGTGCTGTATAGCATGTGTGTATGCGATCTGCTCATTACATTAATTTGTTTGAAAGGCCAGCACAGCTTCCAATGTGACCAAATCATGTTGACTGCTGACACTGCCAGGAGATTGTTAAAACGTCGGAGGGCTGCCAGAAACCCTGGCTGCTTTCCTGGAGACTGGTAGAGAAGTGACCTTTTACTTGCGAATTTAAATTTCTGGTTTAGGGCAATACTCAGGGATTTTGCTGAAAGCCTTGGCCGCTTGTCTGTCCCTTGTTACATTTGGATTTGCTAGTGCTGGCTGAAGCGGTTTGGAGGAGTTGTGCTGCCTGTTAATTGAGGATCTGCTCAGAGAGATCTCCAGCCAGAAGGGAGGGAGACTATAGCAGACATCTGGGAGAAATTGTGGCTGATTCTGCCAGATGCTTTTCCAAGGCATCATCTTTCTGTGCCTGTAGTTACACCTGGCTTCTCCTGTGTGAGTTCACAGCTGAGTCATTTAAACCATCAGCCAGTTTGATGTTAAGGCTGTAACCATTTAACAGAGTCTGTGTTTTGGGTCAGGGTAGGGGCAAACTCTTCCTGTGGGCAGGAGAGCGTTCCCCGGGTGCTGGGACTGCTCATACGAGTTGTGCTGGCACATCTGAGGGAGACCTCTGCCCCGGCCTGGCACGGCGTGCCCGCGGGAGCAAGCAAACCAGCCCAGGGCAACAGATGCAGGAAAGGTTCTGCTGGGGACCAGGCTGGGCTAAGTGATGCTACTCCAGCCCATACTCAATTCCCTACTCCTTCCTGTCTTCCCCTGCTGCAGATTTCCTCTGACCCATCTGTGTAATGAAATGATCAGGCTTCAGAGAACGATGTTTTACACAGATCTCATTTTAGAGAGCAAAGGACTATGCCAACACAACAGGGGAAGATGTTTCCTGTGGGGAAAAGAGGGGGACCTGTGAACAGGCAAGTAGGTTGCAGGCAAGGAGCAATAATACCTCACATGGGCCCTTCCCTGGCTGTAACCTGTTGTGCAAGGGCAGCTCTGCTCTGCCAGTAAAATGTCCTCTTGTGTGGATGGCTCATTCGATGTAAGGATCTGGTATAGATCTTACAGCAAAGCCACTGTTGCTGAGACAAAGTCGAGGAGGTTGACGTTTGCCAGTCGAATAATACCCATAATCTTTTACAGTACTTTTGGGTTTGTGAAAACATGGGCTGCAAGCCATTCTTTGTTGTAAATTTGCATTAGAACACCTATCAGGTTCTTCTCAGAAATGTACCTGCTGCTCCATCCTGACTATTATTTTAAGTGTCTCCACTTGGTCGTTTGTGGGTTCTCTGTTTTTTTTTTCCCAGTGTTGCGGCTCAGTTTCCTTTTCCTGCTTCTGTTTCTTTGCTCAACAGTGATAAGTGAATGCCGGGGGCAGCGAGCCGGGAAAAAGTCCTCGGCATTTATTCGAGCGCAGTGTGAAAGGGTCCTGGAGCACAGCAGGTGTTGGGAATACCCTGGCAAATCTATATTCCTGAGTGCAATTGCTTCTCTGCTTGCTGGATGCTGCTCTGTGGACCTGTGTGTTCTCGGAGCAAGCTGTCGCCTGTGCTTCGGCCGGAGGGCTGAGGTGACTTTCTCAGGAAGCTCCTTGCAGAGCAAACGCCATCTTTGAGGTGCCCGCTCTGAGGCGGCCAGCAGCAGCCCAAGGGAGGCACTTGGCTATCTATCTGCAGAAGCGGCAAGGGTAGGGAGGGATTCCTGGCTGGGACTCCATGGCCAAATGCTGTGTCCTTCCTCCCGGCCCCCCCCCGCCACCTAGCAGCTGGGAGGCTATCTTAGTGCCTCCTCCTGTGTCACCGTGCCCGAATTAACGTAGGTTTGGCAGTCCCGAGGTGGCAGCCCCTTATCCAGTTGCTGCCGCTCCTTCAGCGTTCAGACAGCCCATGCGGTTCGTCTGCGACCCGTTTCTGCTGCTGGGGCCGGGATGGCAGGGCTCCTGTGTAAGAGGCGCAAAAAAGGAGGTAGGAAACGTTGTGTTTGTAGCAAGAATCTCTTCCTAAGCTGTCTGCCTAGGACCTGGTGTACGGGCTGCCTGTAAGCAGGGCTCCCTGGGCAGCAGGCTTTGGGAGGCTTTCTGGGGGCACAGCCGTGCTTTGCTGATAGCGGTAGGAGGGGATGTTTTGGTTCTGTGGGATCTGGTCCAGCCGCACTGGATCTGAAGGCAAGCGTAAGGGTTTTGCATGGCTCTTCATGCCACCAGGGATGGGGGCTTAATTCACAAATGCACATTAATGTTTTCTTTCGGTTTAGTACATTGCTCAGAAACAAGGTGTTTTTGTTAGGAAGAGTGGAGATCATTTTAATACTAAAAAAAAAAAAAAGAGCAAGTGTATCATCTTAATCAAACTTTTGGGAATAAAACGAGGTTAGCTGCATTTAAAAGTATTCTGGCTTGAAATTTATGCAGTATTTTTTTACATAGCATACGCTGAAGACAATACCACGTATTCGCTGCCCAGAGGAACTTAGCAGCTCTCTTCTGCATGTGCAGAGCATTAGGAACAACGATGCCCTGCCCTTATTGAACGCTTGGCATTCCCAGAATGACAGCAATGCTATAATAATGCAAAGAGAGTTACATCTAGGAACAAGGTTGGTACTTCCAAAGGGTGTCTGATTTAAGTGGAATTTGGGTGTTTATTAACCCTAGCAGGGTTTTTAAAATCTTACTTGTAATGTCTGGTTTCCACACGATTTTCCGTGTGCCTCCTGCTGCATTCCTGTTGTCATCGCAGTGTAGGAGCTGCTTGGGTGAGAAAGCTCTAGTTGGGCGTAATGCGGTCAGGGCAGGGTAAGGCAGGCTCTTGGAGCTGTTGTGGTCTGTTGCATGAGGCGTCTTAGTTCCCTGACTTTTGTTTGGAGAGTTTTCCAAGAAAATAGAGAATGAGTGCAGAAAAGGGGTAATTACGAGTTTCTTTAGTAATGACATTTATTCAGGAGGTTAAATCTCAGCCCGCAGGCATCGTATTCTGTTTGCCGTCAAGAATGCTGTTCCCTTCCCTTTGCGGGAGGTACGCAATACAGAAAGCACGCTGTGCTTGCCCCCCTTCCCCCAGGCTTTGGGCCGCCTCAGCTCTGACCAGCTGCTCTGACAGGGTTCATAAGCTGTAAGGTCTCAAAATAGGAGACTGGTGTTTGTTGCTTGCAGATCCTAAGAGCAGAATTTAATAATTGAGGATTTTAGTCCTGTTCAATATCATGCCGTGAAACAGAATTAACTAACGTCTTGGAACTGGAATTAAGAAATGTGGTATCTGTGAGAGATACTCAGGTATCTGTGAGAGAAGGAGAGGGGACTGTAGTGTATTCTTTTTCCCTGTCCTCCTCTGGGGTGGTGGGATCTCTGTGTTTTCCCCTTCTATCAAGCAGGAAAAAAGCAAGTTCTGATGCAGGATTTTGTAAGCTTTGCAGACTGCGTGCAAATGATTATCCTGTGGTTTGATTTTCCAATGGGAAAGGGGAATAGTGACTGTTCTTGAAGGAAGTGCTTGTTGGGATACTGTGCCTATTAGTTAACTGTTCCTCCTGTTCTTTCCCCAGAAAAGTTTGTCTAGCAGACCTTATTTATTTGGAAGTCCTTGGTTTTCCCTGAAAAGAGTATGGGACTTGGACCTCTCCCGAGGGAGACTGCGATACCACAAATGCTGCCACAGATTATCTTAGCCCATGCTAACACAGAACTGCCCGAACAGATGGGGCTGTTACGGTGTCTTTGTATCTCCTGTTTCAAATGCATGTATTTCAATAGCTTGGCTTATGAGAAATAATTAGTACCTGGGTTTGGGGGAGGTGTGCCTTGGAGAGCGTGAAAGTGTTACAGCATTGCTAAGTGCTTTTCTTACTGTCGAGCTCTGTGAAGATACTGAAGAACTGTTCAGTACTTTTCCTCAAGTTCAATGCCTCCGATGTGGCAGGATGTAGGGAAGTACTTTACTATCTGTTTTATTGATGAAGGGTACTTTACTGACTTTCCAAAATGAGAACTGTAGGTTTAGGACAAGAGCTTGAAATCACAGATTCCAGATTTGTGTTTACCAGATCATGCTGCATCTATTTTTAGCCAGCAGCAATGCTAGAATTAAATGCATTTTCATCTTTATTTAGTAGGTCTCCCTGGGATTCTCTGGGGCTTTTAATAAGGCCAGTAGCAAGTTCCTGGTGTTCTGCGGCTGGAAAAGGTGGTGATGAGGGGTGGTCGTGCTATCAGAAAAGTTTGGTTTTGCAGTTTGCTGTCTGCTCTAGATGTGGGCTGTCCTGCAGACAAAGCTCACACCCCTTCCTTCTGGAGAAACAAGCACTCGGAGGTTGCTCTTACCACAGAATGGGGTTTCTTGCAAAATATTTCCAGCCAGTTGTGTGGTGCCTCAGTTTAATAAGAAGCTATGAAAGGATGTTACTTTGATTTTATTTTCCACTGTGGCTGCAGTTCTTAACTCCATAAACTGTGGGCCTGCTTTGAAATGGATCTACCAGATGTTTTCTCTTATTATGAATACCCTCTTCAACCCCTACATATTTGCAAACTTTGCATTTATTACAGTCTTTCTGTTTTTTCCCCCTCTATTCAGTGAGTGACCTCCAAGAAGAAGGTAAAAATGCTATCAATGCACCAATGAATCCAAGCACCGTGGACATCCATCCAGAAGACACACTATTAGGTAAAGTATTCAGGCTACAGACCTTGACTAAGCGATAATTAATGAAGGTGGCCACTGTGACCCCCATATCTATTACTGAGAATGTAGATTGCTCAGTTGAAACAGAGAATTGGGCATGAGAACTGAGAATTGTTGTATGTCACATGTAGACTAAAAATTAGAAGGGCTAAAATGGAATTTAAAGAGCAGTGCCACCTATGCAGATACAGTTAAACTAGGCTGTTTATGGGAAAATTGACTGGTTTGATGAATTGGCAGAGAACGCAAATTCGTGAAGCATTCCTTTTTTTTTTTTTTTTTTTTTTTTT